CCCCCCCAAAATAATCTATTTCACTGACTCATGTTTTTCAGTTGAGGCTGTACTGATCTTTAAGATGATGCTGGATTCTGACATTGTAATCTTTGCAAGAATTTCTTTTTTTGCAAGAATGAGACAGTTGTTCCACCAGTGTGATTGTATTCTGGAAGCAAGGTGAAGCCCGTGTCACTGGGGTCTGTGCGGGCACCAAACGCTATTATGTAAAGAGATGTGGGACAAAGGGCTTTCTTGGCGCAGTGGAATGCTCCGAGCACAATTACAGTGAGAAAGGTACAGTCGGACAGGGAGCTGTGAATAGCACGAGGTATCTTCTTGCCCACTGTTATAGTAGTGATCTGGTACGGGGACAAGCTGCTGTGCTGGCTGAGTTGTAGTAAGCAGCTATCTTCTGCGGTGTCAGAAGGGAATAGTCTGCCTAAGATTTTCCTACTGGCAGTGTAGCGTGTTAGCTTTCAGTAGGTGGGACTGTGTGGCTCCGCTGTCCTGATGTGATCAGACTTGTGCTGTCTGACATTAGCAGACTGATAGCTCAACTGAAGCTGTGTTCTGAATGTCATTGTTATGGCACGTCCAGGATACTGCGCATCTTTTAAAGAAACGTCCAGGTTTCAGAACACTTTAGCTACTCTGGATCCCTCCTTGGATTATTGAAGGAAAAGGATGGGCTGGAATCTGTATCAGACTTGAAGTGCTGAGGAATTGCATGCTCATTTCATGTACCACAAGAGTCTAACACAGCCTTGATGCTAGCATCACATTTTCAAAAGAATACTTTGCTCAGCTCTTATGTTTGAGGTGTGACAAAGCCCACAGCTGCCAGACAGGAGAAGTTTAAAATGGAGTTGTATTGCTTTATGTATTGTATTCACAGCAGTGCTAGAATACAGATTGACATACTTCAGAAGCTATATCCATGTGCAACATAGCCTTTGCATTTGCCCTCTATAAAGTGAGATGAAATGCATTTCAGATACTGTTAGTGCACTATTGGCTTGATGTGAAATCTGAGTATGCTCAGGAGTCTGCAGACAACATGCTGCCCTGCTTCAGTGTGGCTTTTTTGTGGAGGAGAGGAGGAAGAAAGGCAGAGGGCAGTTGTGAGCGTTTAATGTAGTGGGAATGCTGTGATTTGCATTTTTCCTTGGTGCTTGGACTGCTGTGGTATAATTCCAGTACCTGCAAGGAAAACAGGCCTGTGGGAAGGGACAGGCCTTTCCTGGGTGCTGGAAATTAATGTCAAATTAAACGAAGTCAGGTAGAAAATAGAGGAGGAATAAGTAACTTCCCTGTGACGTATATGATCAATAGCCTCGTTAGTGCACAAGATCTAGAGGCTGCATAGTCTACAGGAAAGTGCTTGTGAATCTTCTGTTTAAAATTTGAGTCACATTCTTAGTCCTTCATGGACTCCAAACTTAATTTCCTAATTACCTGAGCAGCATTAATTTCTTTTTTTGAGACCACCCTTAAATTAAAGGGCAAGATGGCCTTGAAATATTAGCTTTCAGGGCTTTTACCCAGGCTGTATTTGAGGCAGCTACAACCTGAGCTGTATGCGTGATGCAGCTGGTTCTTTCGCTCCACTGTGGCTGGTGAGCACGTTAGTGCTGTTGCTACTGTTCACAAATGGCTTGGCTTTTTACCTGGTGTACTGAAAATAATGGGTTTGATATTAGAGGTGTGCTGAGAGGTCCTCTGCTGCTAGTGACCGTGAGCAAGTGTGCTCCTTCCTGTAAGTGCGGAAACTGAGCTCTCCAGCAGCAATAATTGCATTTTGAGGTGTAGAGTGGAGCCAGGAGTTGGAAGTGGGAGGGACTGGAGGAAGAGAAGGGAGGACTTGCATCGGCACTGCTTGTGCCTGACACGTATCAGTGCTAGCTTTTTGTCCTGATTCAGTCAGGTGACTGCCAGCAAAAAGGGTGACTAGTAGAGGTGATCTGGAGCACCGAGTTGCACATAGTTCACTGCAGGGACTGCTCCTTGGCTTATGCAGCAGACAAGGAATAACAATGCCAGTGTGGGTCCAGAAGAGCCCAATGGGTTGTGCATAATAAATTAGATTAGCTTCCTCTCTGTTAGGACTGAGCCTTTCGTCTCCACCAGTCTTTGATATGTAGAAACTGAAACTACAAAGTGATGACTCATAAAAATCTGAGCGATTCAATGGCTGGAAAGCTCTGAAAAGTTGCAGGCATGTGGCTAACGTGCAGCTCCTGCACGGCACAAGCAGATGGGCATGTGTGACCAGCAAGTGACCTGGAACTTGGTTTTGTCTCCTACCTGCTTCTAAAATGCCTCAGTACCTTGGAATCTCAGGCTTGTGTCCTCTGTGCCCTTCTGTAGTGACCAGGAGTTTCCCCTTTGTCCTCTTAGGGAACTGAAGCCCTTCTATGCCAGGGACCCCTGCTTTCACTGCCTATTTGTTTGTTACAGAAATACCATTCGGAGAGCAAGGGTACTGACCAGGTGGCAGAGACGCAAGCCCAAGTTGATGAACTTAAAGGAATCATGGTTCGAAACATAGGTATTTGATTCCCCTTGTCATGCATGCAGAGTTCCTTCAGGCCTGGAACGGCAGTCCTGCAGGGAGAGTGATCAAGGGTACAGCTGATGACAGTCTGGCCTGCTGTCTTCATGTAATAAACTAAGATAAAGGGGGCTGGGGTTTTTGTGACTTGCAAATATGTCATGGCACACATGAAAGCTCAGTTTGCAAGCTGCTACTTGTGTTGAATTTAGTTGAAGATGGCACATAAGGGGGAGGACCAATGTTTGAACTTCTACAGCCTGTGATAGGATGCAGCATGCTTCAGAGTTGGTCTCTTTGTCAGTGTGGCCTTCCTGCAGGATGAGAGCTGCTGTTAGGAGAATGCTATTTGGTAACTCACCTTGTCAGATATGACTCCTTGATTTTGGTTTGGACAAGTCTAATCACCTAAAACACAGGGTTAGATCTGGAACTGATCTAACTTGAGTGGGATCTTTCCCAAAATGTGGCCTGGGTGACATGAAACTTCCCTAAGTGCTGTTGCCTGGTAAATGCTGAAAGGCTGAGGACTGCTTTATATCTAATAAGTAACGAAAGCTGTTTTCAAGAGCTCCTGGCTCACAGGTGGGCTTGGGTATTGAAAGCAGCTCTTTGCACTGGGATTCTACCTACAGATTTGTGTGTGTGTGGTTTTTTTTTTTTCCCCTCCAGACCTAGTGGCACAAAGAGGAGAGAAGCTGGAGTTGCTGATTGATAAAACAGAGAATCTTGTGGATTCGGTAAGTTGGGGGAAGAGTTCAGAAGTAGTGGTACTGCATCAGTTATGTTTACTGGTGAGCGGTGGATGCCAAGACCAGCCCCTAGAGCAGCTTGTAAACAGAGCAGACACTGAAGCACCTAGATCTAAAGGTAATACTTCCCTGTGTCAAACAAGTCCTGTCTTATTGCCTCCTCCCTGCAGGTATCTTTAACAAGCTGCATCTGAGTCTTGCAGCTTCTTAACAGAATGAAGAAATAAGGTATCTCATGTATCTTGTTGCCTATTCTAGTGGTACTGGTGTGATTTGTGAATGGAGGCTAAATACTAGGATGCACAGCTGGCAAAATGCTCTGTTTCCAAGGACCAGCTCAGCTGGCTGCCTGCTACTTCATCCTGTTAAAAACCTCCTGTTTGCTACAACCAAGCATACAGCCTACCACACTGCCTGCACAAGCTGTGGTGTCTTTTGGAGTTCTTCTTGTTTTGGGGGCTTTGTGCTGAAGTAAAGGGAAAACCCATTCTTCATCTGGAACTATAGCAAAGCTAAAGCACATCTAGCACTTCTCTCTCAGCTTCTTCTGAAGTCAGCTTCACACAGATGAACCTTTTAACCTATAGAGTTGCTCTCTTAACCCAAGAGGAGGAAGTGCACATGATAAAAATACTCCATGAAGCTCCAGAACCTAGGAAATCTAGGTGGAACAAATCGGCCTTTTTTGTAAGGGACAAAAGACTGAAAAAACAAGTTTGTTTGAATTATAATGTAAATTAAGTTTTGTATATGCTGTCCAGTGAAGTGGCCTATTCTCTGGAATCTTTTTATACCTTTTCCTTTTGAACCCCTAGAACTGACTCATCTTCCTTCACAGAATCCTGGCTTGGTGCCTAATTCCTTTGGCACCTGGCCCTCAGAAGGCAATTTTGAACCCAGTAGACACCCTGCATGTCTTTCGTGGCGCTTGTGGAGATCTAAGCACCTCTGAGCTGGCAAAAAGTGTTCATGCTTGAGAGATGCAGTAGACATGCCTGCAAATACTCAGGAGGGAATACTGTCCTCCAGCTACCAGGTTTTTAAACAAGACTTCAGGTTGGCAAGTCTGCTCACTCAGGCTCCAGAAGCTCTTCCCTGAAGCATGTGCCTACACCTATTCTTAGGACAGGGGGTGGAGGCTAATCTGAACAGGCCCATTTGTTTCTCTGTCAAAACAGAGTTGAAAGAGGAGGTGCCACCCCTTTCCTGCTACCCTCACTGTTATCCAGGTGATGTGAAACCTTGTAAACCAAGCATGTTAGGCCATACTTAACATTTTCTCGGGTGGTGGCAGGAGGTGGCATAGCATCAGACTAATGCCTTGGATTAAAAGGCACCTGGAATCCCTTCAGCAATAAGGCTGAAGTCATGTATGTGCTGTCCCAGGGAATGTTTGTTCTTGGAAACCATGCAGAAAATAAATGTGCTTCTAGTCTGAATTTTTTTGTCACCTGATGGTGAGAGCATCCTAAGAGATGCAGCTTCAAACACTTCAGCCCTGAGAGCAATGTCGCTGTTTCCTATTGTCTCCTATGCAAGCCTTTATCACAGGATTGCTCCAAATTAACAAGACAATTGGATCCTCCCAGGGACAACAGCAAGGACTTTCTTTGGGGAAAGAGGACTGAAGATGTTGGTGCTAGCTTTGCTTGAAGTAGTGTTGTCCTTCGGAGGAACTAGAATGGAAAAGTCTGGACTGAGATGTGGTATGCTGCTGTTGTCTGAACTAGGATAGTTGATGTAGATATCCAGCAGTCCGCTCCCACACCTAGGAAACTGCACAGCTAAGCAAGAGAAATACTTCCAAAGTTTTGACGGACTGAGCACGGGAGCCTGCTTTAAGTCAAAAATACAATTCATAGTGATGTAGTTATGTTTGTAGCCTTGTCCAAAGAAGTCTGCAGGGGCAGTGGAGAATGTGTCCCAAAACCAGGAAGTAGCCAGCAGAGTGTGCTGCTGAGTTGACTTGGCTTGGATCTTACAGCCTTTCTCTGGGCAGATACCATGAGCTGTTCAGGGAAAGCCTGTGGAAGATAGTTGCACTAATACTTAGGAGCCTGATGGGTGTTTGAGGTCATCTGGTGACCAAAGCCTGTTTTGAATGGATGGAATTACAGGATACAGAGGAAAAGACTTTGGAATGGGATGAGCACAAGCTTACCATAAAGTACAGCAAGCCCAAATACTGAGGACTAATTCTAGTATTAAAAGGCTTGTCATGTAACCTCCAGTGGTTTTTTTGCTGTCAGAAAGTAGAAATATGATTTGCCCCATCCTGGCATGTGTATTTACAGTAGTACAGTTGTGTGGAATGCTTCTTTCATTGGTTGTTAGAGCAGTAGTTCCCTAAATATTACCAAACACTTCAATTCCCAAAAGTCTGCAAGTTAGATGTCTACCTTAAAGTATATCTTTGGCTAGGTACCCTAATCCTTGTGAGCAGCCTACACTTAGTGAGATCTTGTGCTTAATTTTCTTATATGTAAAGCTGTGGGGAGGCATAAAGCCAAGCTGCTACTGGACTTATTCTTATGCCTCATCTTTATCTTGCCCCTGAAGTAACATAGGAAATATGTGGGGGGGTTTGTGTTTTCTGGTAGTTGTGTTTTTTTTAAATGGCTATTCAGTTTTATATTAGTGTAGCTGCAGGAGTTTAATCTCTCTGGGAGACAGACCTGTAGCAGGTAAGCATGTTCGTGTTAAAAGAAAATGGGACCCACATGCCCAGTTGACTGGGTGAAGTGACCCACTTGTTAGTGATGTTGTTGGCTGTCTAGGCTACTGGGGAGGTAGAAGCTGGCAAAGAGCATGTTCCTCTTCATCTAGCTTCTTGTGATGCAGCTTCCTCTGCAAAGGGTTCAGGGATCAAATAGTTGTTTTATCTTTCCTTGTAGTCAGTCACCTTCAAAACTACCAGCAGGAACCTTGCTAGAGCCATGTGTATGAAGAACCTCAAGCTCACCATCATCATCATCATTGTATCGATTGTAAGTATGGAGCACAGTAACTTACCTCTTGCAACAAGGCTTAAATATATGAAAATACCAATAACATTACTGTCTTCAGAGCTGAGCCTAGTCAGCTCCAATGCTGGATCAGGCTTAGCTCTAAAACAAGTGTGTTGATGGTTTTGTGTGAGGTGAGGAGACAGGGTAATTGTGCCAGGCAGCTTTTCTTGCAAAGGCAATAGGAAAGCATTCCTGAAAACCCTGCTTAGCCTCTAAGCACCTGTCAGACACAGCTGCCTTGCTAACTCCAATGGAAATGATGACACTGAGTTCATGGCTACTCTGTCTGTAATGGCTTTTAGGCCTTAGTCCTAGTGGTATCTTGTTACTTAGCTTGGAAGTACCTTTTTCAGGTGATGGTGTGCCTCCAGCCTGGAAAGATGCGAACATCCCAAGCATCTGAGGGTGCTGAAGTGTAGTTACAGGTTAGGTATGTCTAAAGTACTTTGTCACCACTGGGCCCTACTGTTTTGCTGGAAGACAGTTCTCATCCCTATATTCCTGCAGGGATATGGAGGACGAGGCATTGGTATGGTGTGCTAGAGGGCATTCAGTAAGCTATCAAGGGTGTTGATAGCCTGTTTCCAAACCTCTGTGTTGCTTGCCAGACTAAATCAGCAGTTGATTGAATAACAGAGGTGTAACTTTCTACTGAAGTCAAATCAACTGTTTTCTTTCTCCAGGTAATCATCTATATTATTGTATCAGCTGGCTGTGGTGGGCTTGCGTGGCCAAGCTGTGTACAGAAGTAATTGGAGACAACTGGTGCTGGTCAGCTGAAGATGAGAATCACAGGAGTGTGAAGAATCAACCTACAGAATAACTCTTAATCTTTCACTACTGACACCTTCTCATTCTTCCATCCCTCCTGGACTTCAGACTTTTTTGCCTTACCAACCCAAACAGGCCCAACTGGTCCCTGCTTCTGTGCAGCTGTAACCTCAAGAATGGGCTGTTTTAAATTACTTGAAGGAATTGTTTGTTCTTCTGTCCCAACTATAACCTTCTCAGCTGGGTGGGCAGTACAGCCAGCTCTGAAGTGCGTGTGCATGCTTGCCCATATGTACATGCAGCTCTGCACTTCCATGTGAGTGTGTTAAGTGGACAACAGTGTTGCTAGCAGTTGTCCTACTCATGAGGGGTGTGTTGGAGAGTAGTTCAAGGTGGGCTGAGCCAAACTAATGAGGGAGGGAAGAGATGAGATGTGAGTGGATTTCTGTTTCTTACAAATAAGAGATCCAAGTGTCTCTCCCTGCATACCTGGCTGTATATGGAAGCATGTAGCCCTTCTGTAATGTTCAACAGCAAGAAGTTGCCAGAGTGGTATTGGTGGTAACAAAAACCCTTGGGGTAGGGGTTTATGTACTGTAAGATGCAAGTGCTGTTGCTGTATGAAATCTCCCTTTTCCTGGAGGTCAGCCTTCAGTTGGTAGGAGAGAGTGTTAGGTCACCTCAGCACTTTGAAATGGCCTCCTTCATCCTTTCTACCTACCCCTCCCACCTTAATTTGTAGCTAAATAATTACAGTAAAGGAGATGGTTGCATATGGTTAAGGCTGCAATAATATATCTGCTTTGTCACATGTCATTTCTCTTTATTTTCAGGGTGGACTAAAATTAATACTAATGTCATCACTTGTTGGGGTGAAACTGGGAGCCAGTCTATTGATCTGGCTTGATAAGGTGTTGGGTATCACCTGCATGTGCTTCTGTGCTGAAGGTTTGTGCTAAAAACTGAGTACAGAGAACAGCGCACACGAGTTGATGGTTACTTTCTCTGTTAGTCTGGAGAGGAAAGGCTTCTTCTGAGGACCTAGTAATGGATACTTTTATGAAAAAATTAAAAAAAAAAAAATCCAAAGCTAATAACCAAATGTAGAATTGGGTCCCCAATGATATGCTGCTATTGGAATAGAGGGCAGAAATGTTGATTGCTTTGGCTAGTGTGAAAAGCTGATTGTGAACACTTAATTCTCTCCTACCAGCCCTAGGAGAAGAGGGCTGCCCAACAAGAAAGTGGGGCAGCAGGGTGGCTTGAAGTCCTGGCTGACTAGCTGTTGTTGCCTGGCAGGTGCGAGTGGCTTACGGACTTCAGTCTTCTATCTTGCAGGCTCACTTTCAAGAGCAGAAATGGAAACAACTGAAATCTGTTACAGCTTCTTCTCAGACAATCTGATGCTTTTATCTCTTTGGCCTAGAGAAGCGGCTTGCTTCTAACAGTGGGTGGAAGCTGTGCAGGTATGGGAAAGGGAGGCTTAATTCAGTGGCTAAACTCCTGCACTTGGTTGGTGCCATGTGATTTGACTTTTACATAAGTGGTTATGCGTCTTAAGTTCCTTCATTCCTTAGGTGGGTTTTCTGAGCTGTGTGACGTGGGCTTCCAAGGCAATGGAATTAAGTTGCTGCTCCTCCACATCCTTTTCGTGGAGTATGCTACACTGACTTTGTAGTTTTCAGGCAGGTGCTGGGTGATCAGTTCTCATAAATTTGCATGCTTATTTAGATTTTTTTTTCTACTAGGTGAAAATTTAAAGAGTAGTCAGATCTTGATATCCAGGAGGTGTCAGTGGTTTTGATCAGCATTGTGGTCACTTGCATCTCTTTCTGTTTTGTTAGTCCAATGTAAAGCTCACAGAAAGACTTCAGTCCTCCTGAAATGGCTTATCTGGAAAGGGATGTGGAAGAGAACCGTCCTTTCTCTCCATGTTACTTGTTCAGCCCCCCACAGCTCAGTGTACAGTTGTGCATGTTTTAGGGACTGCATGTTCATTTCTGATTTGTCTTATGTACAAGCACTTTTTAAAGAAAAGACTTCCTCTTATTTTAAAGGATGCACTGAGACATTAGTGTAAAACATAGTTAACTTGGTTTTAAATGAAAGCTGCTTTCTCTACAGTAATTTTCTTAGTTTTGTGAAAGCTTGTCTTGCACTAGATGGAGACAACCGGTAGGAACTACTCTCCTTTGGCTAGAGCTTAGAAAGGGTTGTTTTCCTGAGGGTGTGGGACTCTGAAACAGTGCAGGTCTAAGCTTGGTATTGCCCAGCAAGGCTTCTGGAGAAACCACCTGTAGAAAGTCTGCCCTGAAGTACCATTATCACAACTCTATTAGCTATGAAAGGGTTTTGGTCTGTGTTTGTATGTGTTTTTTTTTTTTGAAGGTTTGATACAGGTGCTAGTCTGTCATGACTTAATTTTCCGTGGGGGGGATCTTTACTTCTCCCCTTCGTGAATTCCTAGCATCTGTAAGTGCCTTGTATAGAGGGCTGCTGAATCAATCTAGGGACAGTTGCCTGCTTGCCCAGAGTATTTGTAGGGGTAGAAAGAATACAAGAGAACACAAGTGATGGCAACGTACCTGCTGCTCAGTACAGGTGAACTAGTCCAATAAGTAGCTGCACTGAGTACAAGTTGTAATTATTGGAAGCCAAATGAACATCTGTGAACATTTTCTGTTTTGAAGGAAACTTTCAGTGGCATTAGGGAGCCAACTCCCTAGCAATGGATACCCTTCTTCCTCCAGTCTTATCTGGGAAGAACACTTCTTTCTGCAGGTGTGTACCAACCATACCATGCCAGAGTGATTATGGCAGCAGTGACTGAGCTCACTGTCTTGCACCGGAGTAGTCTCTGGGAAAGCTTTGTAGCCTTTCATCTACCTCAGGAATATTAAATGCTTATGCAGTATAAGGTGTTGGGAGTAGGCTCATGCATCAGTATGAGGGAGTTGGATTTCCTCTTAAACTTGCACAAACTGTTCAAGTTCAATTGATTGTTATCTTGGACCTAGGTAAAGAAAGCATGCATCCTAATGGCATGTCTTTTAGGGCTTAAGCTGATATAGAGTATAAAAATGCAAAAGAAGATCACCTGGTATGACAATGGCTTAGAGAATGAAAGGATCTGTAACTTGAAGTAACACCCTATTAGTCTGATAGTCTGATTAGTCTCTTTTCGTGCTTCATACTTCTGATCTGTGGACCAAAAGTCAAAGAGGTGGCCCTCTTCTGAAAAGGGATAACCATCTTCAAGTACTTGGCATTTTTTTAAGTGATGCTGACCATGAATCCAAGCAGAAGCGAACTTCAGATTGAGGCCCTGGATAACTGTCTTGCTTGCTTTTGTATTAGCCTATGGTCTATCTAAAACCATGTATATCTCCAAGTCTGCATCTTTGTAGATATCCGTCCTGCAACGCTTACATGTCTGACAAGCTTTAAATAGCTTAAGATTGTATTTAGTTAAACATCTTACATCACTGGAAAGTTTTGTTCTTTACCTACCATTAATGTCTGATTAAATCCTAGAGTCCTAGATCTGGACCCTAGGAGGCTGCAGAGGAATACACTGCCTGTAAAGTATAGGCATGCTCTTATGCTGAGTACTGACCAAAATAAAGACAAAAGATGATCTCTCAATTGCAAGATCTAACTGAAGTGTCACTAGTCATTTTTCTAGGCCTGGGGAAGGTAAATGTGTGTTCAGTGCAACTAGGCAGCAGGTTTTCTACCAGGGAGAAGTATTAGAAAGGAACAAATCCCAAAGTGTCCCCACAAGGGAAAAGCCTTAAGATGATAAGGCCTGGCAAATTTACAACACTGTCAAATGGGTATTAGGAAGCCTGTTTGTCATTGCAGTTGTCTCTGTCTTCCCCTACCACCAAGTCTGGCCCTCTTACATGTGGAAGGGAAGTGCTAGTATTCAGAGGAGGAAGAGTCTCAGCTGCCTGCTGCTTTTTTTTTTTTAAGTAAGTATAACAGTGCTCAAAACAAGAACTTTTCTTCTTGGTTGCTTGTGAATCTCACCAAGCAAGTATGATCTTGTAATATATTATACTTATCTACCTTATCAGTAGATTTTTCCATCTCTGGGCTTTGGCAGGTACAGGCTGCTATTATACCCTAGGCACTACTCTTAAAGGTGGAAGCGAGGGGGCTATTTCAACTCCAGGAAAACAGTGGCATATAGCTATTTCTGAGGAAGCTAATGGTAAAACATTCATTGTAATTAGTAGCGTGAGCAAGTGCAACATGAGAATGTTCCTGCTTAAAGAAAGAATGGAAGCAGCAAAGTTTCTTATTAGCATAAATAGATGCATCTCTTCCCTCAGGTAAGAAATTCAACCTTGGTGTCAAGCTTTACACACCAAATGCTAAAACCTACTATTCTGTAAATACTATTTTTAGTAGGGGGAAAAAAAAATCAGCTAATCCATCCTGTGCTAGCATTTACTTTCTGGCTTACACAGGAGCATACACAGCAGAACAGTAGCCTGAAACTCAGCTGTAAGAAAGAAGAGCCAGAATAGTACCTAATGTAGTACTTTGATGCAAAAAGTGACCTTTGCTACGAAATGCCTTGTAGGGCTTTGTACTCCAAGAGGTATTGGCAAGTGCTGTTTCCCAGATCTTGTTCTACTTAAACCACTTGCAGGGTTTGTCCTGTAGGAAGACAAGAATTGAGTGCTGTAAGTTGCATCATCCTTTGGCAACAACTGCCCACTTTTATGAAATCAAAGATGAAAGGTAACTATTAATGCTTGTACCATCTAGCTTGGAGCCTTGTGTAGGTAAATAGGTCTCCAGAGGAAGTCCCTTGGAGCTCAAGTACAGAAGCAGTAGGGCTGTGGCTGTTATGAAAAGCCTTGTTCCTCACACACACAAATTCACTCAGGCTCACTGTTTGTAAGGCAAATCTATTTCAGCACCATAACGTTTTATTAAACTACACTATCAATCACATTGATGGCAGGGAGAACATTGCTATTAGTGCATATTGTGTACTAAAACTGTATTAATGGCCTCTAGCACTTGCTGAGGAAAAGGACATCATTTAAACAGAATCCTTCATATCCAAAGAGACAGTAGAAAACTTTTCTACAAAAACAAGGGCAGCTGGGACTAGAACTCGTTGAAATAGATCAAAGGGAAATGCTTCAAGAGGAATTAGTCAGCATTATTTCAAAAAAAAAAAAAAACACACACCACCTATCTTTATCAGTAACCAGTGTTTGTTAGCTTCCTCAGGAGACATGAAGGTGCTGATAAACAGCAGTTTTCAAATAGCATCCACCTGTCCCTGCAACTGCCTGTTCACAAACCCACACAAATATTGTGTACTGCTCCTTCACTTGTGAACTGACTACTGTGATGTACACACTTGAATACAGCACCTTGACGTGTACTACAGTTATAAAAGCTACCTTCATCTTCTAGAACAAACAATAAAAAGTGGCAGAAATACATTCTATACAGAAGTAAAAAAAAGTTCAGACAAACATCAGATTACACCAGCTTGAATTTAAAAGGACTTACTTCTAACACCTATACAGCTATTCTAGTCTCCCCAACCCATTGCTATGTAACACACCATAGCAACAGGTCAAAGCTTCTTGTTGGCATGAACAAGCCAACCAGTAACCTTTTTTAAGCAAGCCATCCTCATTAGTGGGTCATGGGTTTCTGCCGAGAGGCCTTCCAAAGGGCTGCAAACAGAGACTTATAAGAAATAAGGCTAGTTTCAGTCTTCGTGTGAAGACACTCATATTTCAGTCTTGTTTTGAACAGTAGAAATAGAGAGTAGTCTGTTCCACCAATTAAAGAGGCTAAGCTCTTGACAAAAATAAGTTTGCATTGAAGAGGCAAAGAACTATACAAGTCAGTCCCCAATGTGATGGGTCTGGTGAGAAGAGTATTGTTTTAAAATAATGTTCTCATGCCCAGCCAGCTGGGGTTCTGCTTCACACAGGTGTTTGGCAGTGCATCAGCTCTTTGGGTTGTATCAGTAACACCCATCCTTCCAGGAATCATCAGCAGTTGTCTGACTGGTCTTTGCTGATTGAAGAAATCTGTTTTGAGAAACAGAAGGCACTAAGCACTACAAGAAGCAAAGGTCTCAGTAACCTATTGCTATAACACAGCAATGCTTGTTTAAGGTTTCAGTTTACATTAGGCTTCTACAATGTCTGGCTTATTACAATGTCAACATCTGCCTGCCTTAGGCAAACTGTTGTACTGTCACACATAGGCACAGCCCATGTCCCAGGCAGCCACCAGAACAGACACAGCTGCAGCAGTTTCAGAAAACTCAGAGAAATTAAGTGAATATGACTAGATACTGAAACAATGACATGTTTATCCTGCTCTGTTAACTTAACTTAACACCACTGTTGAGGGTACTTCTCATGACTGAGGCTGGAGGAAGTTTTTCCTGCAAGTGTGACTAAACACATGAAAAATAATTTCCAGTAGTATTCTACCATCACCTGTTTAAGAGTTTGAAAAGTCCTTTCAGAGTATTTTTAATCAGCAGATACAGGCCAATCTTAGGCTACAAATGGATAATTAAAAAAAAAACAACAGTATAATATGGCTTATTAGATTGATATTACATCAACTTAATTTTCCTCAACTCAGAAAGTTTATACTAAAATTGCATTGAAAAGAGTTTTAGGGGGCAGGGAAGGCTTTTGGCAATTTCTTTGAGGCTTTACCACATACAAAAGCATAGCAGATGGCATAGGACTATGGGATAAGAGAACATTTTGCTAAAGTGGCATAAAGCAGCCCCTGCACACAGGTTTTAGAGGCTGCCTCCTTTTTTTTTTTTTTTTTTAAGATTGGATACACTAACTGAACAGCTGTTGCTTTAGGCTATCTACAAACTTCAGCTACCACTAAATATTTCGAGAGCTAATCACGAAAGCTAAAAGAGCTAGAAATGATTGTATAATTGTGGGTTAAGATGTGGACCCTTAAATCAGTCCAAACTTTTGCAACAACAACAAAAAAAAGGGTTTTAGATACCATCGTATGCTCTTTCAGCCTGTCGTATGAAGTTACTGTAATGGCACAGAAGTATGCTTAAAAACCAACCTTGTTAATCTGCCCTGCTCTACAAACTCTTCTAAAAACTCATTAGAGCCCTTGGACAATGCCCACCTAGAGCCTCAACTAAAGACTAAGGTGCAGGGGAACAAAGCGACAACAACAGCAGCAAACACACCAGCGGCAAAGTTATACAGACACCAGTATAAGTCATCTGGGAAGATTATTGTATTAATAGTTAAGGGAGTTTATTAGTCTTCTGGAAGATTTCCCTTCCCCAGAAAAGATGTGTATGGCAAATAAAAAAGAAGTGCCTTATTTATTTATCATAAAAAAATTGGAGCCTATGGGTGCTGATTTTTTGAGAAGCTAAATATTCAGGAAAATAAGTTTTGTTTTGTTTTTTTTTTAAACAGACTGGCTACTGAGGCACAGAAATACTGAATGACTTGTTCACAAATTATATGGTGAAACAGGGAATCTAACCCAGATCTCATGCGTTATGGCCTATCGTGAATGCATATTAGTCACCGAATAAAATTTTTGTGATATTTAGAGCAGCTTCAACCCTTTACTTTTTGACTGGGGGGTAAAGCACTTACTTAACCACTATAAATGCCAGCTATGTGCTACCCTTCCTTTAAGCACTTCTCAACCCTACCATCCAAATCTCTTTGTATTAGGGCACAGTTTAAATTCTGTACATCACCAAGATCCCTATGACAGACACTACTGATCAAAATAGCTCTTGCTTTCTCTTGTGAAGCAAAGAGACTAACTGACTAGTTTAAGAAGTCCAAAAGCAACTTCTCTGGCTTTGGCTGCTGTTTGCCAAAAATATCGGGACAGACTAAATTATCTCCTGCGACTCCATCCGCTAAGACCACGGGATCTGAGAATCGAGCTATGTTTTGAATATTAGACATTACCAAAACTGATCCACCTGTATGCCTACGACACACTTGAAATCTGATATTGACACCACTTTATAAAAAGTATTTCTAAGCCATGAGCTAAAGGTAAGCATTCAAGTCCATGATACTTAGTCTTACGCTTACCTCTTGGATGGTGGTGTCAATTTACTCTTGGGCACCGAAGTTCCTCCAACAGATGTTCGCGCTTTAACAGGTGAATTTTTAGCTACAGTGACCATATTGCTGCTTCTAGTAGTAGAACTGCCACTGGAAGAGCCCGTAGTAAGTGAAGAAGGCTGAGGCTTTCGAACTCCACTGACAGGACTTGCGTAACTGCAGGCTTTTACTGGCTGCCTAGGTGTTAACAGAGAGTTTGTGCATGACCCTGCTTTCATTGATTGTCGTACTGTTAAAGGAGACTGCCCAGCACTGGAGGAATACCTGAGCTTACTGGGAGCCAGACCTAGAAATGAAATGACAAAGAAAGGATAACCCAGTTGACAACAATATCTTAAGAACGCTTTCAGATACTGGGCCTTTTAAGGGCCTCAGTTTTAGTCAGGTAGGTTAAACAGAAAAAAGGAAATCAGCTACAACAGTGCTCGTAGAACAAGTTTAACTGACTTGTTGATGGTTGCTGAATCCTTGAAAGTCGACTGCTTGGCACCTGCAGATCTGATTCCAAGCTCCGACTGCTCCTTACAGACTCCAAAGCTCGAAGGCTTGTCCTAGCCAGGTTGGGCATACTGTGGCGCATCTCCTCTGAAATCAAGAGCAAATTCTCTATTTGCTGCTTCTGGTAGCTCTCAAGGTTTAGGCTATCCCTAGACCAACATAAGCACTTAAAAGTAGCCAGGGGTGTAGCTAATTTCTAAAGTGGCTTCTATTAAATAATAATGTTTTTAAAACATGTGGTTCCAAATTATTTTTATTAACACATACCAAAAGCTCACAGAACAGCTTACCTTCATTGTTTGCGTACTTCAGCCGGTCTTGCATCGGACTTTGCACAGATCTCCTTGGGGGACGGATACGAGAGGTAGATGCCCTACTGTAATCTGCACCAGAAGAAGGGGACTGACATCGGGGTGAACTGAGTGGAGACGGTGAATATCTGTGAGCGCTACGGTATGACAGGGAACAATCATAATCATCCTCATCCTCAAGGCTGTATGTATCGAACTCCTGGTCACTGTAGGTACCTCTTCGCAGAGAGTGAAGGGAGGCACTGGAGCTGCGACGTGATACAGAAGCAGAGCTAGAGGCACAGTCCTGACGGAGACCTGAAGATACAAAGCAAAAAAAGCCCAAATTAATACTTTAAAATAAAAATTCCCAGTTGCAACAAATCCAGAAGCAATTATTTTTATCAGTTATTCCTTTCACCTTGGAAGAACCTAATATCTCTTTACTAGAGATATTTAAAGAGACAGAATACAGCACATTGAATCTCTAAACTGGAACAGCGTCACTCATATTCAGTACTGATTAATTAGAGCAAAGAGTTAATATTCAGACTGACCTGAATTACTCTTGGTGTTAGCCCACAAGCACAGCTGCTTGTCTATGTATTTTGCCACACAAGCTACGTTAGGTTAACTAGGTATGAGTCTAACTTACAATATGAACATTTTACTTCAATTAATTATACACCCACCAGCATTTCAATAGGTTGAAACAAAAGATTTGAACTTCTGGCTCCAAGTGAAAACACACCTCCTTTTTTATTGGTGTTTACAATATATCTACCTAGTTTATTTACAGAGGAGAACCCAAATTATGCCTCTATTTATAAAGTCTTCTTGCCCGACAAAATACAAGGGGCTTTTTACTAATAATTAGTTTAGCAAACTGGTTGAATGAGCTTTTGAGAAAGGTGTCAGTTAAGAGTTCTGAAAAAAAAAATGCTTCTCAGGGGATTCCTTTCATTGCAAGGATAAAAAGCAAACATCACCACACACCTCCCCTTCATGATACAAACATGAAAAGTTTACATCATTCAGAAGGTGATGTAATCTTTTCATACTTCACTGGAAACTCTAATGTGACAGGATTTCCTTGGCATACTTTCTGAAGCGATCACAAAGCATAAGAAGATATCTGAGTTTGCAAAGAGGAAAAGCTGCTCTTTGATTTATTCACTTTAATAGCACCTGTATTCAGTTACACTCAAGTGCAATCAAGTAAAAAACAAGATCTTATGTCTCTCACTCCTTTTGGCCTCATATTTCAATTACTATATCATAATATTTTTTAAAATTCATAAAAGCACAATACTAAATGGAAATAAATGTTTTCCAAGTGAAGAACGAACTTCGTTCTCTATTTCCAGTAAGGTAAATTCATAGTTAAATTACACAGACCAACAGCTCCAACCATTTCATTCCACCTTGATCCTTGATTTAGGTAAGGTCCCAACTGAAATCAACAAAAAGTTTATCAATGATTTAATGGGAACTGGATCAGGCCCCTGAAATCCACACACACTGGGAAACAGACGTTTTATGCCTACTTTAATTTGCAGAGGTATCTCTGAGCGCTTAACCAGAGAAAAACTTAAGTTATAACGCCAACTCTTTCAGTTTTAGCACTCCTGAAACCTTGGCACTCAAAACAACAGTGAGGTAATGCTTGCATTTTCTGTGCAATGAGCAGTTTTTAAAATTCAGTTCTCTAGACTGCTTCTACTACAATTTCAGCCTGCAGTTAGGCGTTAGGGTTATACGTTTCTCCCTCTCATCATTTGTGGTATGACAAGCAGTCACACAGCGAACAGGAGGTGGAAGGAGAATAGAGCCTGCTTGGAAAAACAAAAACCTATACCCCCAACGTTTTGCCTGGTTATTTTTTCACCTGGATCCGTTCCCCAAACTGATGCACCCTACAGTCATGCAGCTGCTTGCATTTGCTCAAGCGAGGAAACAGCAACCTGACTGGCAGCTGTGAGCAGCTATTGTTCAAACTGTCACTACTATGAAACACTTACTCATGAAACTTCACCCATACTTCAGAGACAATCTAGTTTGGAGCAGAATATTTTTGAAGGTCAAATGACACACATTTAACCAGGTTGAGTTTTTGGATAACACTTTCAGAACAATCCTCTGCTTTAAGAAACGTTCAGAACGTTACACAACTGAAGTGGCAGTTTGGGTCTGTAGATTTTTAAAGGAAGCTCTTACAAATCATTTCAAATGATCTGTTAAATCCTGTTGTTGTTGGGGGAGGGGGAGAGAAGGACAGAAGTAGAAATCCATGTACATTTCTAGAATACGTAGGCGATTGCTGTCACATACTTTCTTCCTGAAGGCGTGCCATAACCTGGACATCAGTCAAGTCCTGCAGCTTATATCCCATCGAGATGGAGTCATCAGATGTACTCAGCTCACTGTCCACAGATGACTGAGAGCTCAGTGCAGAATGCATGCTCAAGTAACCTTTAGGAGGGAGGAGGAGGAGGAGGGAGGAACAGAAAAAGCATTTAGACATCCACATACAAAACAAGAGTGAGCAGCAGAATATTTTCTCCAGTAATAAAATCAGTGCAGGTGTGAAGTTCAGCTGAGAGGCGGTTGCTAGAAATAAGAAGTTAGCAATGACTCGAGAACACAATGCTCAGTGTTCTAACCTGCAGCTTTCAGGAGGCTGAGAGTCTTTATGCGGGGAGCATTTCATGGGCTTTTGTCCAAAAGAAGGCAAAGGGATGCTTAGCGAGTTTGAGCTTAGAAATATTCTAAGATCAGTATTTATTGTTTCTGCCAATTTTGAGAAGGGGGCTGCTATTGGTCTAGATATTAAGCAGTGAAGTTGCACAAAGTGTCTGCTACCATGCTTGCAAGCAGTCATAGGAGTAATAGGATCCAAATGGCTTCCAGAGTACAGTATCTCAAAAAGTGGATAGGCAATTTACTTATGCAAAGTAGAGTTTACACTAGACTACCCCCACCTCATTCCTGAGGTTTACCCATTTTCATCATAAATCAAACTGAAAGCTTTTACAGGAAAGGACATAACTTGTTCTTATAACAGGTCATGGTATCTTTACTGTCACATTAATAAAAAAACAAGCTGGAACGATCTTCCTACCAGGGTACGTTTTCATAACACAGGCATCAAAAAGAGGAACAAGTCATTTTCCCTCCTTTAGATAAAAGCATAAAACCGTAATGAAGTGCAAAATTTTACCTGTTAGTACTTTTTAGTAAGTGAAGCAAGTCAGTATTTTCCACAGTACAAAACCACTACTACTTGCTACTGAAACAGGAAGACAGGGGAAAGCCATATAACTTGTGGATTATACTAATACACTTGTCCTTTGAACGCAGGCAGCTTGTAAGCAACCCTGTATGCAGAAACATTGAGTCTTTTGGTTCCTCCTCAAATCCTTTCCTCCTGGCGACTAGGAGGAACGTTACAGCAATAAAGGTGAGCCTGTTGTACCACCTAACTGTTAGCATATCTCCATCTGTAGATGGTAGACAGAAGCAGGCAATATTAGGAGAGTCTTGCTACCGTTCCATTGAGATTAAGTTCTGGCTGGGAGCAGTATCATTTTGCAAGCAAGAACTGGTCAGCAGTTAGTGTACTAGCATACCTCCATCTTCCTTTCCCATTTTAAAACTACCATACTGCTTTATATAAAAGACATTACTAGAAAAAACCTTTGGAAACACAGGAAGGGATTACCGAGTGTAAAATCTTCTACATGGCAAACCTGGGCCTATCTCGCCACAAGTTACAAAATACCGTAACATGCTGCTAGCATAAGTAGCCCTAGAACAGACATGTTACATAGCTCATGTAACTTGCAGAGCTATTTTAGAAGAACACCTAATTATCTGAAAGTAATTCCAAGACAAGGTTGTAATCAGTACTACAGAGATTTAGACGAACGAAGAAATAAGGAAAAACAGAACAATCTGACAGAAGATCAGATAAAGACGTAGACGTGCAAGGGCCTTTCTAAGAGCACTTGACATCACTTCAGCTAGAGCAGGATTAACAAATACAAATCCTGTTCAGACAGGGATTCAGGATCATCACTTAAATAAAAATCAGCTAGTAGGCTATAAAGCATCAGCTGACAGATCAAGGACATAAGTCAGCCTCCCAAAGCATCTACATGATGTCACTCACCATCTACCTTTACTTCAGCTCATGCACTTTTGCCAGCTGTGTTCTTGAACTGAAACAGTGTTTAAG